TATATATATATATATATATATATATATATATATATATATATATATATATATATATATATATATATATATATATATATATATATATATATATATCAAAACTATATGCAGTTAAAACAAACACTTATTTGTTAGTATCCAAAGTGTGTTGTTCCAGCTTTACATCTGATAGTAAGTAATTTTGTCTTATATTAGGTGTGGTTTGTGACTTTCGAACGACTCAATTTGGAAGAAAATATGACGAGAAGGAAAAGATAAGTAAAACAAGAGAATGAAACAAAAAAATACAATTATTTCACCATAGTAAGTGAGGACACTTATTTACAATTTTTAAAACAATTCTTGAATTTTGCTATACGTTTTAGTGTGTTGATGTTCATGTTGTGGTTTATATAAATGGGGTCTATGCGCTGCGAGTATGTGTTGCTAGGGTTCATCTTCATAAAAGCCGAAAGATATATATGATGGGACAAGTAAAGTCTAAAATTCATAAATGCTCAGTAGGGGAACTCTATGACCTTTTGATGTACTTATAACATTTCAAACATAATTTTCAGGCATTAAAACACAAGATAAGCTCAGGGAAGTTCATGGCTTTCTTCTAACACAGAGCTGCAAAACCACATGTGAATGGCATAGCTAATTCTTCTTCAGTATGTGTAAGTGCCAACTAAGGATATGACTTTGTGATTATTTAAGTGTTGATAATTCTATGAAGCTATGCTTGATTCAAGTGTCAATTAGGGAACATACTTAGCAAACAAACTTTTTTCACAATGTTATTTCGATTAGAGTATCTAATCAATGTTTTATTCATTTATATCATTTCGATTTAAACATTATAGCAGAATGAAATAGTAATGACATATTCTCAAAGTACAATGTAAATAAATTTTGTAACTTTGGTTTTATTTCTAATGTTATGCACTGCTTTGTTTTCATATAATGATATTTCTGTATTACATGCTGATTTTTTATATTGTTTTAATTTTTGATTGGATATGAAGAATTATTTGCAGATGCTGAATGAATTACAGGAGGTGGGAAGCCAAAGACATAGACTGCTCATGGAGCATGTTAATACTTGATGGAACAGCAAGATAGATTTAAATAAAGAAAGCTTCAAACTACTAATTTATACTAATATAATATATTAGGGTAATCCCGCCCTACAGACAGAAAAATAAATAAATAATAGTACAAATTTATTTTAAATGTTTGCTTCACTTTTAACTAAAAAGTAACATTACCATTTATATTTTTTTTTACAGCAATTGTAATTATTTATTTACTATTTATTTTAGAAAGCATACTTGTCTAACTATAATAAGAATTTAAACACTGTAATTTTTTCAATGTGTATTTTAGTTTAGGGGAAATTTGGTGAAATGCATTTAAATAAGAATCAAATTGGAAAACTACACCTTTATTTAAATTTTTGGAAAATTACACTTGTATATATAAAAATTTACCTAATTGTCCATTCTTAATATTTCTTAATTTCTAATATATATTTAAATTTTGATTTTTAAAAAGTACAAATCGTTAGAGAATATACCAATTATCCTTTTAACATATCAACCCAATATCTTTGCATATCTTTTTATTAATATCTTAAATTATTTTATTAATTTGAAAAAAAAACATAACGTGAGACGAAGACCGTCTTCTCGTCTCCTTCCTCCTCGTCATCTTCTTCGTTTCTGAAAAAAAAATTCCTTCCATTGATTCTTCCTTTCATCTCATTAAGAGAGGTTTGTTGATTGATGAATCAAACTTCACTTTCTAATTCTAATTCTATTTTATCCTAACAATGGTTCTGTTTTTTTTCTTTTTAGGAAAATCATGTTTCATTTGGCTGGAGTTTTAGGAGAGTGGAAGATGAATAATCATGGAAGATGAATTTGGCTGGAAATTTAGGAGAATATATGTTACAACATGACTTGTTCATGATATAGTCGTCACTTTAAATCATAATTTACATATTTATCTTTGTTATTGTAAATTTAAATGTTAAAATAATATGTTTATTTCAACACATATATTTATGGGATAAACATAAATTTTTTTAAAAGATATTAATTTATTAAGTGAGATAATTATTGAGTTTCGAATTTATATATTAATTTCAAATTTATATATTAATAACTGAAATATCTAATTAGGGTAACAATGTCAATTCACAATTAGAGAAGTGTATTTTACAAAAATTAAAATAGAAAATGCAATTATCAAAAATCAAACTGTTTTAGAGTAATTTACAAATTATCCCTTTAGTTTAACTATACCAATAAGTGACAATAATTTTTTTTTAAAGAATTACAGTAAACTGGAATATGTAGAGTGAAGTTATTTACTCGTAATTATATATTTGTTTCATGAACTAAACTGTTTTTTTCTTTACACCATCATAAAAAAAAACTAATTATTTACATGATGTAATCTATTAAACTAAAATATTTTAATACAGATAAATAGATAATATGAAGGGAAACTATTATTACTGTTTAGACATATACATATTCTCTATTAAAAGAAAAATACCAAATTTATCTACTATTTAGAAGTCATATTGAACCATGTCATTAATTAGTTAATATGATATATTTGATTGTTACTTAACAAATCAAATATATATTATTTTCAAAATATCTTAATAATTAATAAGGATACTAATAATAAATCAATTTAAATATAACAAAATCTGTTGAAAACAATCTAAGAATATCTTACCAAAAAAATTAAATATTTTTTATATAAAATAAATATTTCTTTATTTCGTTATTAAATATAATTATAAATTAACTTTAACTAAAACAAAATATAAATCATGTATTTAAAAATTTTAGTTATATATTTATAAAATAAAAATATACCCGCACGGATGTGCGGGTCAAACTCTAGTGTTTGTTAAAATATTATATGTATTATATATATAAAATCAAGTTAACCATGTTATCAAAATAGTTGATTAAAATTTTTGAAATACATTTTACTAACTTATAATGTATAGTCTTTACAATAATTTTATTATACATAATAAATTATGATATATTGGTTATATTTTAAAAAAAATATTTTGTTTATTATAAAATACTTCTATTACGTTTTTTAGAATTTTTATTTATTTAAAAATTATTCTTATTTGAACATTATAAATAAGAATTTGTTAATATTTCTAATGTAAAATAACCCATTCAAAATATTCAATAAGTAAAATTAAATTTAGAATATGAAATAGTAATAAAATAGTATGATGCATCATTACATAAATATGTTTTGGATGTTGAGGTATTAAACTTTCAATTTTTTTATTATATACACACAAATTTACTTAATACGATTTTTTATAATATGTAGCTTGTGATATAAAAGCTTTAATAAAATTTCAATTGGATTTAAAGGGTTTCAATAGGTTACAACTTAAGAACATGATTGTTTCAATTAGGTTAGAGTGAATTTGAGTTTGTTGGTGTAGTAAAAGAGATTTTGACTCATTGATAAGTCTAACGAATTATAGTTTGAGCCCACAGTGATACTTACTCTGTAAACAAAGTCAACAACCAAATATAACTTTACAACGACTTCTCGATCGCTTTTTTTTCTTCACATCTCAGACGATCAAAAAAATTCAAGCCATCACAAAGATGATGCACATGACCTTCTACTAGGAAATCAAAACTACAATTCTTTTTGATCTGAAAAAACTGATTCATGCCTCAATTACATCCTCACCTTACTTGCTTGATTCGTCTTCGCCACTTTCTACCAGTAACTTATGAACCGTCATCTTCAGTTCATATCCATTTATCTATCCGTCATCTTTCTCCGCCTCGCATCGGTGCTTCCACTCTTCTTCTCGCCAATTCAGGTACCAGATCCTCTGTGAAAGTTGTGTTAGTGGTGCTTTTCGGCGTGAACACGACGATCAATTATTACTGATGCATGTGGTTATGTCCTTCAACGGAGGCGTTTTCATGGCGGAGAACACATAATGTTTCTGGGTAAAAGAGATCAGGGTTGCTCGCTATTGAGTTGGGTTCTTCGACCAAAGAGTAAAATACACACATAGAAAAGCCCATGAAAATAGTTGATTAATGATTATTTAATGAAATCCAAAGTCTAGAAAGATACACATGTCACTTTGAAAATGTATGAACTATTGACATGATATCATAAAAAGAATGAAAAACCTTCTTTATATAAGAAGACTTTTAGTATTTTTTGAACAACATAATATATCTTTTAGTTATGTGTATATAATATATTTAAACCAAAATTATTTTATTCGTAAACAAAGATAATTACCGTGCGTATGCACGGGATCAACACTAGTCCGTAGATATATCATAAACCAGACCGATTCAAAATTGGTTGGGATTTGGGGTCCTAAATTTATGTCCAGCTGTATATGACTAAATGGCATTGACCCAAGTCGATTTAAAATCTAACGGCTTACATTAATATCTTTGAGACTAAACGTCTTCTCTTCTCTCCCACCCACTTGCCACATTTCTGAACAAAAATCGAACCGAATCCGAGTCATCGTAGAAATGGAGCGGTTCAAGGATCCAACCGGAGACGAAGATCAGGTCCTGGAGGAGGAGGAAGATGGAGGGACGCCAGAGCCTTTCGGAGGAGCTAAAGTCAGGAGGAAAGCTTCTCGTTACAGAGAGCGCCGCGGCGACTATCTCCACGTCTCCACTCGTCCCGGATTGATGAAGATTCTCGAGAAACAAGGTCAGCTTCCTCCGATCTCATTCATTGGTCTCGAATTTGATCGATCGATTGATGAATTTTGTAGGGGACACGTCGATTCGATTCGCTGATAAGGTATTGAAGTTCACTGGGTCGGGGAAGATGAAGAGGCGTATCTTTATCCTAACGGATTTTGCCATCTATCTCATTGATCCTGAGACGGAAGGTATGACGAGGAGGATAGGTTTGGCAGCTGTGGAGAAAGTGTGTTTGAGCAAGTTGAGTGATAACTTCTTTGCTGTTATTATCCCTACGGAGTACGATCTCTTCATGGCCAGTACTCGGAAGACTGAGCTTGTTCAGGTCATGGTTGATGTCACTAAGACTGCTTCTGACTATGATCTTGAAGTGCTTCTCTCCAACAGGTAACTCGAGGATCGAAATTAATTAAAAAAACTTACACTTTTAAGACATTACTACTGAGATTAGTCGTTCTAAATACAAATGATTGCAGCTAAATACCTGATCGCAAGGGTGTACTTCAAAGATATTGTTAGATTATAGATTCTACGATTGATAGAATCTTCTGTTAAATGGCAATCACATATAGTATAACTCACCTTATAGGTTGTAAGTGCAGTCTGTGTGTTACAGTTATAATGGTTTCTTCTCCTTTGTTTATTCCAGGTTTGAGTACAATGCTTCTGCTTCATTGGTAAAGGAAGTTTCTTTTGAGGAATCTGAAGGTTTGAATAAACAAACACATTTTGAATCTATCTATATATTTGTGTTTGTTTTCTTGGCTCATCAAGTTCTGTTATTTCTTTTCAGAGGGTATTAAGACCAGATTTAAGTGGAAGTGACTTCAGTTCCACTTATTTCTCTGTTCATAATCTTTGAAGGGAGCACTAGGAAGATCGGTCTCCAATGTGAATGGATTCTTTTCCTTTTGGCTACTAAAAGCTGGGTATGGTGTTCATTTTATTCTGTTTTCATCTTGTTTTCTGCTCTTCCTTAGATAAGAACAAAAGACAATAACAACATTCATGTATGAACTGAGTTCCATTCTGGTCTTGCTAGTAAGTAACAGATCAAGAATATCATTCACTAATCTTTTTTTTTAAATTAAGCTAGGCAACTTTATGCCTTTTCATAGACTGAACTGAAATATTGTAACCCTATTGTGAATGGTCAAACATGTAAAAGGAAAGATAAATCGTCTTTCTTACAGTATATATGGCGACCCTGATAGACTTCCTATTGGAGTTGAGCCTGTGGAAACCTCTGATCTATTTCCGCTTACTAACTTCTCCGGTCTCATCTCTTCCACCATTCTCACTACCTCATTCATGTTTGGTCTCTTTTCTGGTAACTTCGCCGTGCAAACCATACCAATCTGAAGCATCTCCACCATCTCTTCCTCTACTTGAGTACACCTCATAAGCTCTTCATCAAACACCTCTCCTGTCCATTCCTCTCTAACCACCGAGTTCACCCACCTCACCAGGTTAGCCACCTCTGACTTTCCTGTTAATACCTCAAATATCAAGACACCGAAACTATACACATCCGACGGTTGACTCCCCTTTCTCGTGTCTGTTATCTCTGGTGCACGATAGCCAAATGCATGCCGGGGTAGTGAATGCATCAGCGTGGACATTCCTGCTCCTGAGATGCAGCCATTTCCTTTTGCGTTGAGGAAAACATTTGAGGATTTGATGTTCCCATGGACTAGTTTGCCTCCGCTTTGTGAGTGGATATGAGCTACTCCTTTTGCTGCTCCATACACGGTATTCAATCTAGTTTCCCAATCTAGAGGTTTTCGATTCCTGAGACATCTCTGACCTGAATGGGGTAACATATATAGACTAACTTAGTTTTGTATAAAAGTAATGAACTGTTCTAACTATGCATTACTAAGTTCAATGGTGGCAGTGTCAACATACCGTGTAGTAAACTTGATAGACTTCCATGTTCGTAGTAATCATAAACCACTAACTTCTCATCCTTGGAGTAGTAATATCCTCTTAAAGTGGCAACATTCTCATGCTTGATGTTGCCAAGATGTTCTATTTGCTGCTCGAATTCTCGCTGAGACACACACACTTCCTTGATCCTTTTCACAACGATGGTCGCTGAGTCCTCGAGATCAACCTTGTAGGTTGTCCCAAATGGCCCCTTCCCTAGAACTTCTGCAGAAGCTCTCAACAAGTCTTCTAGGTCAAAGACAAGGTTCTTCCCTTCGAAGAACACAATCTTGTTATCTCCTCCACCCAGGTTTGGATCTGAATCCTTCCTCCTCTTGATAGGTTTTTCCTTTGTAGATCTTTGCGTTTCTCTGTTATGGCTTATTACCAAGAAGATAGCGAGCAGAGCTAGCAGCACAAAACACGTACTTAATACTATGCCAAGAACTGTGTGATTGTGGTGGTGTTTTGTTTGTCTCCTTAATGATGTAGGAACATGAATCAGATTGTTTCCGACAAATACTGAGAGTGGAAACCTCTGAAGTGACTTGGGTACGGTTCCTGTCAGATTGTTGTGAGCTAAGTCCAGCAGCTTCAGACCCGGAATATGTAGATTCGGAATCTCACCCGAGAACTTGTTATTCGCGAGATTCAGAGTGTGTAACTGAGTTAGCTTCTCAAACGAAGATGGGATACTAGCATTAAAACGATTATTAGAGAGATCAAGAACTCGTAGATGCTCCCAAGAAGAGAAATCAGAAGGCAGAGGACCAGAAAACTCGTTGGAGTCTAGTTTAAGCTCGGCCAAGTTCTTGAAACCGTGTAAACTTGAAGGGAAAGGTCCAGAGATGTTGTTAGAACTGAGAATGAGAACCCGAAGATTAGTTAACCTGGCTATGGTGCTTAGCTCGCCATGCCCACGAAGAAGACCCGTGGCTACTAAATGAAGACCGACGACACTGGAACGGTGGGAGTCGCACGTAACGCCGGTCCATTTGGTACATATAGGAAGAGTTGGTGACCAGTTGAGTGAATGAGAGTGACTGATGCTGCTAACGAATTGAAGAAGAGTGTGTTTATCTTCGTTGATTGTCTCAGCTTCTATGCAGAAGATGATTGCTCCGATGAGTACTAAAACCCATTTGATTACAACTTGGCTCTTCATTTTCAGTGTTTCTTTATTTTTGGGTGGAGGAAAAACTGGTTTAAGGGTAAAGTGACGTTAATAATGGATGAAGATGAGGAGGTGTATATATAATAAGGTTACAAAATTATTCACTTTTATGGGCTATAACAGATAATATAGGTTAAAATATTTTATTTAAATGTTATAATAACGAAAGTGGGTTGCTTTAGGTTAATGTTAGGTTCGGCGAGTTGTTGACTTCATCAGCCTAACAACTCTGTTTTTGTTTCTTGTTTGCCAGAGAAAATGGCGGTGAAAGCAACTATTATAGTTTAAAAAATAAATTGTTACTTTTTGTGTCAATTTCCACATTACTTTTCAACATTGAAACATTTTGATTTTCACTGTGTAAACCTAAGTCTTGTTTTCTTAAACAGTTGAAATTAGAAAAAAAAGAAGTTCATGGTTCATGCTAATTGTTGAGTCTCCATCTCCCATCGATCTACCAACACACACACACACACAAATTCGATATAGAATCAAAGAGATCATAAGAAAGAGACATGCTCGTATTCATGTTTTTATTTGTTGACTGGAGATAGGTTTATGTTTAAAATCTCAAGTTAAAAAAGTACTAGTTTGAAGTATTGGAACTTTGTATCATGTCAACATGTGTTTTGGTTAATGGTGGCTTTAGATACAGATGGCGCCTGAACAAATGATTTACCTACTATTTCTTCCATTACTAGAAAAAATATTATCTGACATATAAAACACTGGTTTGGCTTGAGCAGCTTTCCACTCAGTAGCGGCTCTGATACGAAGCTATAGAAGCACTAGCTTTTGCCGTATTTGTTTAGGTATATTATCGGCTATTATTTTCCAAGCTATTCTGTAAGTTAGTTGGTTTGGGTTCAAGCCATTGGTATGGAAAAAGGTTTTTCAGCTACATGAAATTTACACTAATATGATGGAAATCATCCAATGTATAAAAATGTGTTAAGAACTACACGAAGTATAAGTTAATAATTAAAATCAATTAAGTTTATTAAGTTTCATAAATTACGGATTGAGCCCATTAATTTACCTTAAGAACAATTAAATCTGATTGTGATGTTGCCACCATAATATCATTTACTTCGTACATGTGGCATGTATTAACATATACTTCGAGTAATTCTTGACACATTTTTATACATTGGGTTTTCCACCATATTAGTGTAGACTTCATGTAGTTGAGAAACTTTTTCCCTTTTTTTAATTATAGCGGTCGAAATTTTTTTTTCTTGTGGTCTACAGAACTACTGGATCGGATCTAATTCCACTCATCAACAACTTGAATCCCACAATCCACATCTTCTTTAGGATGAGCATCCCTTTTGAAGATAATCCATAATAACCACAAAGGGATCATACATACTTGAATAGGCAATTAATCTGTAATTTTGATACCCAATATTAACTTTTGTATCGACTTCCAGTTCTCTTGAGTTATTGCTAAAATGTGAAATATTAGCGCACTTCACATCGCATGGACGTGTTGACATTCAAATAACACTTGATTTTTCTTTTCGTCTGATAAGAAATATCTTCAACAGATCGGATTTGTGTTTTATACCCTCTTACACTACAAGAAAACTCGTCATTTACTAGGACCACTTTTCCTCGAAACACGTTCATCATAAAGTTTTTTCCTCATAAAGTCCTAGCTAATATACGAGGAAAACTTTCCTCGTAAACTCGTGGATAAGATTTTCCTTGTAAAGTCCTCGTACACGTTTCCTCGTAAAGTCATAGTAACACATTTCCTCGTAAACTCGTAGTAATGTTTTACGAGGAACTTACAAGTAAAGTTTACGAGGACTTTACTTCAAAAATATTACGATGATTTTACTTCGAAATATTTTTTTCCCTATTAAAAAAATATTAATTATAAATATAAATAATATATTTTTAAAAAATTAAAAAAAATCAAATTATAAATAAAAAAGAAATAAGTAAATATTTTATAAATAACTAAATAATATACAATTAAGTTTAAAATTTACAATATACAATTAAAAAAAACTACGGATGGTGGTCGTTAAATTACCGAACGAAGTCGTCCTGGCTCGCCAACTCCTCCTCGGCAAGGTTGGTTGTCTGCTGTGAATGTGGCGGTGGATTCTGTTGGGTTGGAAGCCCTCAGTTTTCCCGTCTCACACGCAACATCTCCGCCAATTGCGGGTTTCCAACCGCCACAACGTCCAGGACATCGGTGAGAGAACTCACATGAGACTGCGTCGCCTGCAACTCCGAGCGCAACTGAGCATTGACATCGTGCTGTTCCTGAGCATAAGACGATGTCGCTGTGGGGACATCGTTAACGGAGCCAATCCCGACGATACGTCCTTTTTTCCTAGGGGCGACCTGTAAATAAAAAGATTAATAACGTTAAAAAATCAAATAAATAATAAAAATTAATAGAAAAACAAATTATTTATCTCCTCGTAAATCTTATCCACTTCAAGAGTGGATAATATGACTTGTGTTCCAGACTGCTGAGTCAGCTGAGTCAGCTGAGTCTGGCGTTCGTCAACCCGAGCAACAACCTCGTTGTAGATCCGCTCGGATCTAGGATCTACAAAATGCCCGGCCTTGTTCCGGTGGATCCTCTCGTAAAGCTCTTTCAGAGATGGGAGAACTCATGTCTCTTTAGCCTAAAAATAATTTTTAAAATTAAATATTAATTAGGAATATACAAATAGAGTAAAAATTAAATAGTTATTAAAAATTAATTTACCACGTGAGATTTTCGACCCCCGGTGTGAAGCATCTTCGTGTTGCCATGCTCGTCTCTTGTCATGCGGTTCTCGGAGTTTGTGTGGCAGGTTCTGACCAAGTCCGGCAACCCCCAATATCTGATGAGGCCATCCCACACGTCGAATGTGAGGCAATCGGGTTTCCCGTTCTCGTAACCATCCACCTGAACAAAAAATAATTTTAAAATGGTTTGAATTAACCATCAAAGGTTCGTTTCTTCTTTCCATCTATACACATTTTATTCATATATTACAGTTTATTTATCAGATACTATGTTTGAATCATTTGCATTTGCAGCCATCTTGCTTATTATTATTCACCAAAGCGCATAATCTAATTACGCTCGTGATTTCTTTTGTTTATATGCATTTCAGATACGGGAATTTGCCAATGGGTTCACAGCGATATGGGAGATGGGGTTTCCAACAAACGCTGTTGCTGAAGCTCTCTTCATGTTTGACAATGACACTGGCAAAGCTTTGTCACATTTGCTCCATGGTTCTTCTTGAACGGTCTTTCCAATATTTTCTTCTTTTTTTTTAACATAAAATCAAATTTGATAAAAAAAACATTAACCTAGTAAGATTAGATTAACCAAGTATTTAGAAATTTAGTTTTTTTTTCAACTTTTGTAAATGGATGATTTGTTACTGTTGTGCCTAAGTGAAATCTCTCTCTCACAGCTTCTTCGTAAAAGCCACTGATAACTTTATAGATGTGTTTTGATGAGTAAAGTTCCCCAATATACAAAACCTGGACTTTGGATAATGTAGTAATGACACAAACCCACAAAGGGTATAAGAGGTATAAGATTGTTATAATATGTATGGTATAGTTTTAAGATACATATCAAAGAAAGTTGTGTAACAGGTCTTTTTTGGACAATATGTTGTGTGCTTCTCTATAAGCAGCAAACTCTCACACTTGAATTCATCTGTAAACTCTTTGTCCTACTACACTCCTGCGCATATAGCTTCTGAAACGTATGGAAGAATGTGAGTCCAACAATATGTATCCAACATCTTCACATTCAAAAAAACTAAAGTAAATGGCTTAGTAGAAGATGCTACCTGAGGACCAAGCGGAACAGCAAAACTTTCCTTCATCTACATGCTTTACATCAAGTCCCATGAAACATGAGCCCGTGCTGACGTCATCATGTGCATGCGAATGAAGTACGTCTTTGTCATCATACAAAACAAATAACACAAAAACTCGTTTCAGCTTTAGTTTCTCTGTTTGTTAAAAGATTATGCCCGCTGGGTGTAGTAGTTGAGAGTCAGAAACTGACCTATTGATCGATACAAAACTAGCCAGTGCTTGTGTTATAACGTACATCTCTCCATAAGCATGCTGGAAGTATCTGTTGAGAGTCATAAAACAAGTACATGTCATTCTTTGCCACATAGAAGAGTTGGAATCTGACTGTTTAACTTACGCTTTCTTGTCACCAAATTTCCACCATTCTGGTTCATACCATTTGTGGTTCCTGCCAGAAAAAAAAACATTTAAGTAAGACTGATAAAACTCCTAAGATACTTTTTGCTCCAAGTAGTTTTGGGTTTCTATTCTCAAACTCACGGCTCTGAGAAAACTTCGCCTGATTTCATGCAACCAATATAAGTTCTTGGGTTCTCAAGATGAGCTGCAAGTGTACTTCCGAGAGCATCTGCATTGGATCAATTACATTCATGGCCACTGTAAAGTCAACAAATGCTTACAGCAGGATCCTCTCTCTTACTAACTTACCGAGATTAACGTAGATATTGTCAATGGCCTTTGCATAAAACTGTGCATCCCACCTCTCTGCAGCATAGACAAAGAACAGCTTTACTTTCTTAGAAGCTTCCTCAGGTGCCTCAACTACATTATCCTGAAAAACATTGAATGGACAAGCTTCTCGGACTAACGTGTGGTCTGAGGTAATGTTGAAAAGAGTTCTAAACCACATACAAGAATAATGAAGTCATCGGTTTGACTGTTTTCAGCGTCAATGCTCTTATCCATACTGTCCCCTTTATTTGCACTACATAGCACAATAATAACGTGTCAAAAGAAAAACAAGATTCCAGTAATCTCATATAATCATTACATGAGAGGGTCTTAAAACAGAATCCAAACCTTCTTCCAATAACAAACCGTGCAATCACACCCTTCTCAGTTTCCAGCTTTTTTAATGATGCACCTGCAATAAAAGAAAGCCCTATTAGGCTCCAAATAATAAGTGTCTTCAACAAGAACAATTGAAGCATATATTCTATGCAATCCAACCAGAGCACTACCTGTCCCCATCCATGCTTGCCAGACAGCGTCTCTTTTCTTCTTGTTACCCAAAGTTGTCATGATACCGATAACCACTAGTGGTCTTTTCTTAGTTTCTGTTCCATCAGTATGGTTAAGAGTTTTTGAAAGAAAGCCTTCTTGCCTGGCAGCACTTAATTGATCTCAAGAGCTTCTAATGTCTTCTTCTGTTCCCTAGAAAGAAAACTCTTACCTAGTACAGTCCATGTAGACAAAAAAAAAAAGAACAAAAGGAAAGCAAAGTACCTTCTACTTCACCTGCAAGCTATGATCTTTAAAGTATCATCCACTGATATAGCAGATTTACCCTGAAAGCGGCCATAAAAGAGCATTATTACACCAACTGGTTTTGGACACGCACTCACAGTAAAATATGAATACTACAAACTAACATGTCCGGTAACCCTGTCGAGCTCCTTGATAAGATGAACCCTAGTTTGTGATTCTTGCCATAAACTACCTCAAAGCAAACGTGTAAGAATCAATAGGACAAAATGGCGAGTAGATGAAGAACTAACTAACTAACTAACCGGCCTGCGACATAGAAGGAAGCGAAAGTAGCAACTATTGATATCAAAAGAGATGATACTCTACTCGACCCTTTCCTCGCCATTTTCAACCTCTCGCAAATCAATGCCTTGCCTTCTTCTCCTTCAATCAACTCTCTCGATGAATCCAGTGATTAGGAATGTGTGGATGGATCTGCTGGTTGATTCACCATCCCAACATAGAAGAGAAAGAGGATCGAGTTCACTCCTCTCCGCCTATCATCATCTTTTTTATCAGATCAGTTTTTGCCCAGTGAATTGTGTTAAGTTACTTTCTTTTTAAAAAAAGATAATAATTTCTGTCACCAAACCTAACCTTCTATTGTTATTATGTGATTATAGGTGGAAAACTATACATTTTATTTACAGCATATGCATGACTCAGCATTTAATATTTTTTTCAGCAGCCGCCCTACGTTCTCTCTCACTCCTATCTTTCAGAGAAAGAGATGCAAGTTGGTTTGGTAGTTTTGTTGTATGATAATTTCGATCTTTTACTCGACCTTTGTTTTCGTTAGGCAGAAATTACCTTCGCTAGACGAATTTTCGTTGTGTTACATTAACCAAATCAGAGCAACTCTTTCATGTTTTTTTTTTATCTTCTCATTGATTTGTATTGAGGTTGAATAAAGTTTTGATCTTTTGATCAGATTCTATGAAATCTCTCTTTTATCTTCTAAGCTTATTTTGTGATTCCAGTTGAATCTATGGATCTCCACCTTTCGCTAGTCATCCTTGAACATCTATTCAGATAAGAATCAATATTTTCTTATGATTGCAAAGTATCCTTAATAGTCTGATGTTCTAAGATTTACGCAAGTTCACTATAGGAAGGTGTTTCATCAAAGGATTTGTTATAAAGTCTCTCAAAGATTTCGCTATGACTTTTATCTTTAGTGATTAGGAGAGGAGCTCCTTTAGTTTCAGCTGTGGTTCAGAAGAAATGCGACTTTGCAAGTGAACTAGTGGGAGGTGAATTTGGCGCCGGAAACTTAAAGTAAATGCAGTTATCAGAAAACAAAGATAAGCAGTGAGATAAATTATTTTCACCAATGGATAACTGTTTTAGCGGTCTCTAAATCAGTCAAAAGAATATTGTTCTGGACAGTATCATTGTTTTGATATTCGAGAAGCTGGAGAAGATAATCATCATATAAATCTGGTTCTTCACGAGACATGCCTGATAATAAGAACACGCTTTTGGGTAAATTTGAGTAAAGAACGAGTATTTTTGTAAATAAGGTTCAAATTAATTTATGAAAAGGGGGATTTATTTTTGTTTTAATAGATTACTAGGTTTTCATCCGCGCAACCGCGCGGGTATTTGTTTTCATTTATATGTACATAAACATTTCAATTTTTACATCATTAATGATATTTATTCTAATAAGAATTTAGGTATTTTTTCACTTATATGGACATTAACATTGCGGTTTTTATATACTTAGTGGCATATATTTTAATAAAAACATATTTTTAAGTGCGGATGTACATGTTTTCAAACACAATAATGTTAAATCTGCTTGTTTGTTATCCAATTAATTGTTTTAAACCGTAATTTGTATTTGTAACTTCTTATTATCAATTTATTTTGGTAGATTTGTATTTGATTATTAGAAATTAATATATGTAAATTTTAATAAATATGAAATTCTTTTTATCTTCAAAACAATGTAAAGTTTAGCAACGGTAAAGTTAAACAAATATAAACGCATATATTATTTATATAATTAATTTCTTTTAAATATTTAATTATTTGGTATTAGTATAAAATGAACTATTAAATATTTATAATAATAAAATAGTGAACTCTTTAAATCTTGCTATCTCTCTTAAATTTGGTGGCAAAAAACAACTATGAAATCTCCTTTTTAGTGATTTTTTACGGAAGTTGTGTGATTATTGTAATTAGATTGTTTTATTATTGTTTTTTCCATGATTGTTAGGTTAGATATTATGGCATTTAAGATATGTGATATTGTAGATATATATATATTGTTCTGTTTTAGAATTTCTTTCAAGTGACCGGTTTTCAATGTATTATATATTTATTCAAATATTTGGCTTTCTATAAGGTTCTCAATTTTGACATAAAATGTATATAATGGGATACGATGGTTTGTCATTTTATGTGTATAAGTGGAAGTAACCACGTCCTAAATAATATTGGAGATATGTAATCTATATTATGCACAGAGTATAGTCTTATAATGCATGGTGTATATCTCCTTATGTAATCTAGTAGAAAAAACAAAATGTCATTACCAATATATTAATAAGAAAGAATAGAAACCGGTTTGATATGACATATAAGTATGGTAAATCGTTTGCAATGGAAGAGTGAATCGCTTTGGTTAGATTTTAAATAAGTGGTTGACTTATTTAATTACGTTCCGGTTATTTTGAAAGTAGTAGACAATAATATTATGAAAATATAATGTCGTTACTCCTTAGTGCTCGGAAAATAATGTTATGTTTTAAATTAATGATTTTCTAGTAAGGGTCCGTTTTTTAAAAAATCACACATGAATTGAGGTTATGATTTCTGTTTTAATATATAAGATTTTTAGGATAAGATCCATATTTTAAGGTGAGATTTAGTGTAATACCCATAAATGAAATTCAAATTAAAGACTTACCTTATGAATAGAGATGGCAATTATGGATCTGGACCGCATGCCTAGCCCGTAAAGAACTGTCGTGGGACGGTATTGGGACGAGGTTTTCTAGATCCGCAAATTTGCGGGCCTTGCGGGATGGGTCTTTGCGGATTAGGTCTTTCGCGGGATGGGCCGAAACGGATCCGCGGGATTACAAGGACCCGCATTTTTTTTCTTTATTTTTTGTTTTACCTGGAAAAAACGAGAGAATGAGTGAGAAGAAGACGATTCATGTGACTTCTCTTGAGAAATCGTAAGGAGCTCGGGCGATGATGATGATTTGAGCTTCGGTGATAATGATTCGAGCTCTGGTGATGACGACTACAGCTCCAGCGATGACTATTCGAGCTTTAGTAGTGTTTTGATTTGTTTTTTTTTATTTAATTTGGGATTGACATTTTTGATTTAATGTTTCATTTTATTTAATTTTTGGATTCAGCAAACTAAAACATTGGTTATGAACATATGAGTTATAAGATAATGAAAAATATTTTCTGCAATTATTTTTACTTTGTATGTTAATATGTTTTGAGTGTGATACAAATAATTACAATTATTGTTTTGAATAAAAAAAATAAGCAAATCGATGATTGATGAATTATGTTTAGTTGAATCGACGACTTGAACTATTTCTTAAAATGGCCTAAAGCGTTTCAGAGGGGTCTGAATCTTTCAGCTGCGCATATTATCACATGTCCCACGGGACGGCCCGCGAAGACCTACATGAAATGCGGTACCGGATTGGGCCGCTGTTTTCAAGACCGCATCCCGCACGAGACAGGCCCGCCGCGTCCACTAGAAGACGAACCCGCAGCGGGACGGGAGGGGAAGCCCAATTGCCATCTCTACTTCTGAGTGACAACTAAGGCTGAAGACACACAGTTGTGTTCAATTTTGGACGAAAACACTCTTCTCTATCTAACACAACATTCAGCTGGAGGAAAATTAGTTTTTGATTTAATTTTATGGTTTTCTTTCTCAACCATTCATCTCTTTATTCACCATTGATTCTTGGGAAATTTGCCAAATATGACTCAAAACTTGGATTCAAATGCAAAAGTAAACCCAAACATGAATCAAATGCAAAAAAGTAACCTAAAAGGCTATTGAAATTACAACCACCTCATTGTGAACAAACAAAAAACCTGAATTTTTTTTTACGTTTCTAACCCACGTAACTATTCTATCCACACGACTTTCAGTTAAGTCGTCTGGATGACTTAGTTGAAGCGTCTAGTATAGTTATTCTTAAAAATAATTTAAAAATTTTGTAAAAAATATTTAGATAAGTGAAAAAATTGAAATCATGTAATTAACATATGTTTTAAGAGATATAAATTAAGATATAACAAAATTTAATTATTTTTAACATAGATGAGTGAAAGTAGTAAGTCATGATATTTTTTTTGTTTAGGTTTTGCCAACATATGTTGTAGTATTGTATATGTTTCTTAGGGTTAGATTTTCGAAAGAATAAATGTTTTTTTGAAAAATTTAAAATTTACTTAAGTGTGTTTATTACTGTGTACAGTAAACACTATTTAAGTATAATTTAACTTTATAATGTGGTTAGTTAGTTAATTTAGTCAATCTAGTTTAGGGTTTAGGGTCTAAACGAATTACTATTACGTCGTCTGGTAAATATACTTAAGGTATACGACTTACTAGTAAGTCGTCTGATGTATAGTATCAACAGACGACTTAATAATAAGTCGTCCAAACCGGAACGAACCTTTGATTTTACCAATTTGCTTTTAAACCTAACTGATTTTTTACCGGACATATATAAGATTTTTTTTTTACTCATTTTTTTTGCGAAATTCAGGAAACCCTAATGCTGTTTCTTTCAAAGTTGATTTCAAAGGCAATTTCCGTCGAATCTCTTTAATCCATTGTTCTCAAAGCCGGTTTTCTCTCTGCCTTACCACCGTTGTTATCACCACCGTTCTCACACTGCTTCCTCTATTTCAGATCTGAGAGGAAACCCCTAGCGCCGTTTTTCTGTAAACCCTAGCGTCGTTTCTCTTAGAGGCGTTTCGTTGAATTCTGCCGCCGGTAAGTTATATCTAAAGAAGAACATGAAACATCGTTCTCACCGTCGTTCTCATCGTCCTTCTTTTTCACGTCTTTTTTTGCAGATCTATAACCGCTATGTCGAAGGCGACTATATCTTCTCCGAATTTTTAGGTCAGCTTTCCAATGTTCTATTGGAAGTCTTTCAACTGGAAGACTTGACAGACAACTTAATTATAAGTCGTTTGGAAAGTCTTCCAGACTTATAATTAAAATGTTATACTGGATGGTTGTGTGTTTAAGAATGTTGTCTTTGATTGTTTTGTAGAAAAAAAAGGATATTCCAGAACTCCCCCGTAGGATACATACAGTAGGGCAAGAGCCCCCCCCCC